ATTCTTTTTTATACATTTATGATCAGCTTTTCAATATTTTATGTATTATCACTAATATTTTCTTAGTTGAAAACCCCGAATTATAGAGAGGCCTTGCCAGTAATTTTACATCGGCTAGATGGCATGTCTGTCGTTGTGGAACTCCCGGTAGCATTTTATTGCAAACTCAAAAGCGAGTGCATTTTGCAGATTTCATAATCCTCTTCTGATCTTCCTTCAAATTTGCACAGGATATGTGTCAGGCGTATGCTATCTGAAATCCCCCGTTCTTCTCCTGTCTACCTCAAATGGTACTTCAATTCGCTGAAGAAAGTGTGAAAATGTTAGTTTAAGTGAAGCACACTCCTGCTCTCTTCTATTATTGTTTGGGGTGCCTCTTCTTGAGGAGAGGAGACATTCCATTCATTTAATCATTAAACAGTCGCTAAAATTGAGCCTAATAGGTGAATAGCACGAAATGAGACGGGACATCTGCGCCTTTTCTCACACACACCCTCTTTCCCCCTTCTTCTCCCTCATTCCCTTTTGCATCCATCCATCTGAGGCCATGCGCATCCAGTAGCAAATTGACTCTTTTATTGGCACTAGGGATTACCTCCTTCCTCCTCACTGCCTTTCCCGCTTTCCGTTCGGCTGCTAGCCATGGCTTCGTCCGTCCTCTCTTCCTGTCCTCCGTCGTAAGTTTTCCGTTTTTAAAACCGTTCTCTCTGTCACTTACTTTGTAGCGATCCTGAGGGAGAATGGACTGACAACGGCCCAAATATACAAGCTCGGTCGTCGTGTGCTTGCGCATGTGTAAGCATATCGATTCTGTCATCTGAATGAAGAACGAACACTTCTTCATTCGTGTCATGTCGTATCATCACCCACATACACACAACACAGACACACACACACACACACTCATACATAGATGCTTAAGGACCCACGTTTCAGGCCTTATGCAAAACAGATTCTCTGTAGGATTTGTTAAAATTTCTGCATAAAATGATTAAAATACAAAAGTTGTTAAATTAGTTGCAGCATTGAAAGTTCCAGCTTCCTACGTTTATTTTGTCTCGAAGTCGTTTCCTGCCAAACAAAAATTGATAAAAATGAAGGAGATATGTACTACGACCAATAGTAGATGCTTTTACACCACTTATGTGTAGATGCGAATGTATTAATACTGTCCGTGTTTCTGTATACTCCAACCAGTATTTGATCAGTATTGCCCATTAGAGCTTTTTTTCTGACCTGTGATACAGAATGGTTTGGAAATTTTTGTACGAATTTTGAGAGCTTTCGGACCTCCAGTTGTCCGAGGCATTTGGAGCAGGAACGGGAAACGGTATTTTAGTCTATTATTCATACTGTAATTGCATCTGGTGCGGTATTTTTATGCTCTCAAAAGCATTACACATTGGAAGATGAAATGCTTTCGGCAGTTTGCTTTTGTTCATTTTAATGGGTG